TGACCCAAGCATGGAATTACCGAGTACCAAATCCTCCAATATTTCATTGAAGGAATGACCCCAATGGAATAAAGGCTTCTTAATGCTTCGAGTGGCGGATCTCTACCCGATAAGACTCCAACCGAAATCTAAAATCTAATCAAGAAAGTGGTTATGATGCTAGCCAAAGATAAAGGTGTATAGCCCACACCCTGCCCATGCGGTATTTTCACTCAAGTGGGGCATCCAACCGATATGTCCCCACAACTCCAAAAGGAAGACTATGAAGAAGAAAAATTCATGGGAGGATATTTCGGGTCAAATCAGAGGGGTTATGAGCAACCACGAGGTGATCAGAGATGGAACAATAATCAGGGTTGGGGAGGAAATCAACAAGGTAACTATCAGTCAAATCAATCACATCAATACCAGCAAAGACCACCATTTCCTCAAAATTAACAAAGACCACCCTTCCAACCTCAAAATTACCAGCCAAGGCAGCCACAACACCCTCCTCGACAAGCGGGTTCATCAAGTATGTCCTTAGAGGACATAGTGAAAAGCCTTGCCACAAGCACTCAAAGCTTCCAACAAGAAACCAAGGCAAGCATAAAAAGCTTGGAGCAACAAGTGTCACAACTTGCTCAATCCGAAAGTAAGATGGAGTCACAAGGCAAACTACCATCTCAAACGGAGAAGAACCCGAAACACAATGCTTGTTCCATTACTTTAAGAGGTGGGAATAGCTATGAAGGTCCAAAGATGCCGGATGAAGAAGAGGAAGAGAAACAGATAGAGGTGGAAGAAGCTATCAAAGAAGAGGAAAGGAAAAGTACTTCCAAGTCAAGGAAGCCCATAGAGACCGAAGTGAAAGTCACACCAGCTCCATTTCCTTCGAGGTTGGAAAGCACCAAAAGAGAGTGGGAAGATGATGAAATCATGGCCATGTTTTGAAAGGTTGAAATCAATATCCCTCTTTTAGATGCTATTAACCATATTCCTAGATATGCTAAGTTCCTCAAGGAACTTTGCAAATCTAAGAAAATGCTTAAAGGAAATCAAACTGTGAAGGTTGGTGAAAATGTCTCAGCCGTGTTACAAAAGCGGCTACCAAAAAAATACAAGGACACGGGTGTTTTCACGGTTCCTTGTAATATGGGTAACCTTTTTGTACCACGTTCCATGCTTGATCTTGGAGAATCAATCAATTTTTTACCATATCCAATCTATAAGACAATAGAAATTGGTCCTTTATCAAAAACCGGAGTTATCATTCAACTTACCGACTGGTCTTTGGTACACCCGAAAGGTGTATTGGAGGACGTGTTAGTGCAAGTTAATGAACTTGTATTCCCCGCTGACTTTTATGTTTTGGATATGGGTGATGAAAACACCCCACAATCGAACTCCATCCTTTTGGGGAAACCTTTTATGAGTACCGCAAAAAAAAATAGATGTAGCCAATGGTACTTTGTCTATGGAGTTCGATGGTGAGGTAATTAACTTTAATATATTTGAATCCATGTGTTCTCCTAGTGATATTCATTCTTTAAACTTCATAAATGTTATTGATACATGTACTAACGATTGCTTTGAGATGTCAAGCGAAGATGTGCTAACCACCATCTTGAGCAAACACTTTGATGAGACAGGGATCAAGAATTTGGCTGACAAGTACACTTTGGAGGATGAATTGATTGGAGTAATCAACTCCCTGGAAAAATCACAATCCATAAGAGTTGAACCACCCCACATGAAGCTAAAAAGTTCCAATCCAAAACTTCTCGCATCCATTGTACAACCACCGATTCTTGAGTTGAAGGCTCTTCCCGACCATCTCAAGTATGCCTATCTTGGAGAGGAAGAGACATTACAGGTGATAATTTCAAATAAGCTAGCACGAGAAGAAGAAAAAGAGTTGGTTGGAATTTTGAAGAAGTACAAGGAGGCTATTGTTTAGACTATTGCGTATATAAAAGGGTTCAGTCCATCATTATGCATGCACAATATACTAATGGAAGAGGACTTCAAGCCAACCCGTGAAGCCCAAAGGAGGTTGAATCCACCTATGATGAAGGTGGTTAAAAAAAGAGATCATGAAGCTATTGGATGCAAGTGTAATCTACCCCATTTCTGATAGTAAGTGGGTAAGTCCCGTGCAAGTTGTCTCGAAAAAAGTCGGAGTCACCGTTGTCAAAAACTCCGAGGGGGAATTGGTACCCACCCGTGTGCAAAACAGGTGGAGAGTTTGTATCGATTATAGGAAGTTAAATGCTTCCACACGCAAAGACCACTTCCCTTTTCCATTCATCGATCAGATGTTAGAACGATTGGTCGGGAAATCCCACTATTGTTGCCTTGATGGTTTTTCTGGTTTTCATCAAATTATGGTTGCCTCGAAAGACTAAGAGAAAATCACATTCAAATGTCCCTTCGGCACCTTTGTGTATAGACGCATGCCCTTCGGCTTGTGCAATGCACCCACGACCTTCCAAAGATGTATGGTGAGCATATTTTCAGAATATGTCGAAAATATCATAGAGGTTTTCATGGATGATTTTACTGTTTATGGAAATTCTTTTAATGAATGTTTGCAAAATCTCACAAAAATCATAAAAAAGTGCATTGACACGAACTTAGTCCTTAATTATGAAAAATTCCATTTTATGGTTGACAAGGGCTTGATACTTGGATATGTGGTGTCCCAAAAAGGTTTAGAAGTTGACAAGGCCAAAACAGATGTTATTAAGAGCTTACCAAACCCGAAAAATGTTCGGGAATTATGTTCTTTTCTTGGCCATGCAGGTTTTTATCGGTGGTTTATAAAGGATTTTTCCAAGATCACGGTGCCGATGTGTCAACTTCTACAAAAGGAGGCTGATTTTGAGTTTAATGATGAATGTAAAAGGCATTTGATCATTTGAAAGACTTGTTGACATCCGCCCCAATTATTCAACCGCCAAATTGGGATCTTCCATTCGAGATCATGTGTGATGCTAGCAATACTGCGGTTGGGGCGGTTTTGGTACAAAAGGTTGATCGAGCACATCATGTCATCTACTACGCATAAAAGACCCTTGATAGTGCACAAGACAATTACACCACAACAGAGAAAGAGTTGCTTGCTATTGTCTTTGCTCTAGAGAAGTTCCGACAGTACCTTCTTGGAACTAAAGTGATCATATATTCAGACCATGCAACTATAAAGCACTTACTTACAAAGAAAGATTCGAAGCCGAGGTTAATACGGTGGATGCTGCTTTTGCAAGAGTTCGATATTGAGATCAAAGACAAGAGTGGAAAGGAGAATTTAGTTGCAGATCATCTAAGCCGCATTGTATCACCCGAAGATCGTATACCAATTTGTGACACATTTCCAGACGAGCATCTATTTGTAGCCAAAGAAGCACCATGGTATGCAGATATCGTCAATTATTTGGTCACAAGTCAATTTCCCCCAGATTCATCCCGTTGGCAAAAAGATAAAATCAAGAAGGAAGCCAAACAATACATATGGGACAAGTCGTACCTTTGGAAGTACTATGCAGATCAAATGATCTGAAGGTGTGTTGAGAAAAAGGAGGTACAAACTATCCTTAATTTTTACCATTCCTACGCTTGTGGTGGTCACTTTGGACCCCAAAGAACCGCTAGGAAAGTTTTAGATAGCAGATTCTTTTGGCCTTCTATATTTCATGATTCTTATATGTTTTGTGCAAATTGTGAAAAATGCCAAAAATCCGGGACCTTAAGCTCTAGGAATCAAATGCCCCTTACTCCCATTCTAGTATGTGAGATATTTCATATATGGGGTATTGACTTTATGGGACCATTTATGCCCTCTTTTGGTTGTTCTTATATCCTGTTGGCGGTGGACTATGTGTCCAAATGGGTGAAGGCTAAGGCCACCCGTACTAATGATTCCAAAGTTGTGGTAGATTTTCTTAAAGTATAGATTTTATCATGGTTTGGCACACCTAGGGTGCTCATAAGTGATAGCGGGACCCATTTTTGCAATCGGATGCTCGAATTTGTTTTGAAGAAGTATGGGGTGATACACAAAGTATCAACAGCTTATCATCCCAAACTAATGGACAAGCTGAGATCTCAAACATGCAAATCAAAAGCATCTTGGAGAAGACGGTCAACACAAGCCGTAAAGATTAGAGCATAAGGCTAGATGATGCCTTATGGGCATATCGTACTGCCTTTAAAACTCCTATTGGTATGTCCCCATATAGGCTAGTGTTTGGAAAAGCATGCCATCTTCCGATTGAGCTTGAACATAAAGCTTTCTGAGTTGTAAAGCAATTTAACATGAAGGAAGATGAGGTGGGAAACAAAAGGAAGCTAGACATTCAAGAGTTAGAGGCGATTCGGAATAACGCGTACGAGAGCAACATGATTTACAAAGAAAAGACAAAAGTGTACCATGACAAAATGATCTCCCGAAAGACTTTTGTGCAAGGAAAAAAGGTGCTTCTTTACCACTCAATGTTCAAGTTAATTGCGGAGAAGTTAAGATCAAGATGGGTTCGTCCTTTCGTGGTCACAAGGGTGTTTGACCATGGTGCGGTGGAAATCACAAGCAAGCAAACCAGTAAAACATTCAAGGTTAATGGTCATAGATTGAAGCCATTTTATGAAGGATTCGAGGTGAAGAATGAGGAGCTAGATGTGTTGGAGAACCCCACGTACCAAGATTGAGCATTATTCCGGGGGGGGGGGGCAACGTCGAGCCAACGACTTAAAACAAGGGCAGCTAACCGGGAGGCAACCCGGGGGTATTTTTGTCATTTTTCATTCAAACATTTCGTTCTTTGCAAAAAAATTTATGGTTTTAATGTTCCAAATGTATTTTGTCATTGTTTCCAAACCAAAAAACGGACCTTGGGATACAAAAGCATTTCATTTCAATGAGAGGGAATTTTTAAGTTCAAAAGAGTGTGGAATAGCATCCAGTGGGGTACACGTGTCGTGCCCCACTTGGCCTAAACTGGACACGGGGCGTGTCCATAAAAATGTTGTCCATTTTTCATCCAGAGACCAACATGGGTCGTGTTGGATTTTGGCACAAAATCAACACGGGCCGTGTTCATAAGAAATCCAACATGACACATACAGAGAGCAACACAGGCCGTGTTGAGTTTTGCCTTATGCTCATCATGGGTCGTGTTCGTGCTTCAGTCAGCTTAAAAAACCCCAACACGGGGCGTGTCAAATTGGCCTGTGGGAACACGGGTCATGTTCACACATCAGACCTGGTGGTTTTTTAATGATAAAAATCGGGACTTTGCCTCATTTATCCCCACAATCACTTCATAACATCCTCTCTCTCCCAACAAAAAAAAAACCATAGGTCCGATTTTCATCAAAACCTTTCAATTTCTACAAGATTTTGGCTTACATCTCCAAAAAAGGTTTGATTTTTATCATCTATACTTCATCTTCTCCATCCTAAACATCATTTTCTTGCATTCTAATGGTGGAATTGGGGGTTTTGACAAACCCTACGTCCGAAAATCTCATATGATTTTGGTGTTTTTGTGTCTTAATCTCAAAAAGAGCAAGCATGGGGGGATTGAAGAAGGTCTTTCACATCAAGAACAACACAATCCCATGTAACATTCGGTAAATTCCTTCCAAATCTTCACTTGTGAAATTTATGTTCCTGAGTCAAATTGCTTGAAATTCTGGGCATATTGGACTTGAATCTCAATAAGAAATCATTCAAAACCAAATTTCCCACGAAATTTTGGTGGTTGAATTCGTGTTGATCGGGCCCGTCAACAGTTGGCTTTTTGACTTATTGATTGGTTGACTTTTAATTTTCCGAATTTAACTATGGAAGGTAAACCTTCTAAAAGGCTTAGACGCACCAAATCATCCGCCCGTCGTACTAGGCCTAGGTCCCCATCGCCTCCACCTAAAACCCCATCGCCTCCATCTAGGTCCCCATCACCACTACCCAACCCGGATCATGGTGGTGTCGTGTGTCTTGGCCAATCCAAGAGGGCAAATTTGAGTCATTCCTTCAACGGGGTCATGTCATTTTAAAGTTTGCGCATGTGCCATCTCTTAAACAATTGCACATTTATAAACAAGTCCAAACCATGTTTCACAACATAGGATGGCACAGGTTGTTGAAGGTCCACGAATTAAGTTACAAAGTCCCAACAACTGATTTTTTATCCATAGTTTATTTGTACCATGGGATCCTCTACTTCCACCTCATGAATCAAGATTATGAGATTTCCTTGGATCAAATTAATACCATTGTTGGGGCCCCAACTGAAATCACATTTGGCCCCACTGACCCAATTAGAGGATATTTTGATATGACATGGTAAACCCAACTCACCCAGTTGCACCCATACATCTCTAGCGCTGCTGAAGCCTCATCACTTATCCATCCCATGATGAAGGTGGCCCATAGAATCATTGCTTCACTCGTCGACCCTAGAGAGGAGCAACGCACCATTAGCCCGCTGGAGCTCAAAATCCTCTATGCAATGGCTCATCCCGAGGATAACCTCGTTCCTCATTATGGTCAATTTATGTGCCACAAAATCATCCAACTGAGCACATCCCGAGCGGGAAAGATTTGTTGCGGGGTTATTGTCAGGATGCTCTATAAGAGCGCCCAAGTCCGAGCCCCATACCCGGTCCCCACCATCCACTGTCAGGTGAGCCTTATCTCACCACTGCTATCCTTGAGTCCATGCGACTATTCCGTTCGGCAGTGGATGGCACACATCACTAGACCATGGGTCAAAATCATGATCCAAAGCTCCTCATCACACCAGATTTCCGAAACCCCATTCACATGACCGATTGGCAAATCATTCCATACATCTTCCCCCACTTATACTCCACCAAGGTAGATGAGCAAAGTGAAGAAAATGAGGAAGATGGTGATGATGATGATGAAGAGGAGGAGGAGCCCCACCATGCTTGTCCCACCAGTGGTGCCAGCTCATCCCACTATGTTGCACCCCCGTCTTATCATCAGCAGTATATGGATGAATTCCAATCAATCTATACTCGCCTCGACACCTACTAACAAGATATCACAAGCCTCACTCAGAGTTTCTCTTCCTTCACTACCCAGTACACTAGAGATCAAGAGTGCCAACGTAAGCATGGGGATGACTTTTGGGCTTAGACCCGAAACTCCGATTACTATTCTTATCATCCTACTCCGCAATAGGTTGTTCCGCCCTCTTCAAGCATCGGGGATGATGTTTATCTTTAAGTTTGGGGAGGGGTAGAGTCACATTAGGTTCTCATGCATCATTATATATAAAAAAAACTTGTACGAGATGATGACACTCTTTACATACAAGTGCTCCATGAAGTGGAAAAACGAAAAAGGAAAATGAAAAAAAAATACCGAAGCAACCGGATTGTTACCGGAATTGTAGAATCACCTGTCATAACTACGGGACCCAAACACCGTAATTCGAGACCCTAGCCTTAGATAATAAAAAGAATTTATAATGAAACGTTTTATGGGCGGTAATAACAGCTTTAGGATGATTTGCTTCTAAACGTTTAAAAAGAATCTTTATCGGCAACTTTGGACCCACAAAACACGGACCTATTTGTTGACACGCGTTATTAGATCCACATAGTCAAGAAAGAAGGAAGGGTACAACGCGTTATCGGCAACTATGTTACCCTCATGGTAACAGACTGCTTAAGTATTAGATCCACACAGTCATGAAAGAAGGAAGGGTACAACTGTCATATCTAGTACCCAAATCAGAATTTCAAATGCCAAAATGAAGAAATCTCAAGAAATTCCAAAAATGAAGATTGAAGAATCCAAATTCAAAACGAAGTACAAATCAAGTTCAATCAAATCAAAATCCAATTCAAGTTAAATCTGGCGAATGAAGAACTATTCGATATGATACTTGTGGCTCTCGAAAAATTGAAAGCATAGGAGCTGAGCCCTTTCGGGTGGGCTCACTGTTTCAGCGAAAGCTAATTCGCCGTGATGAGTACTTAAAGATGCGTTGATTCTGATTCTTGGCCATCTAGTCTTAAGGACATGAGATCCGGACTGTGTTATTTTCGCCCATAAAGCTTAGTAAGGTATAAAGTTTTAATAAAACTAGAGTTAGATTATTGGGTTACGCCGTTTCGGGTCTTCCTCACTTTGGGAGTCTATGATATATAGAAGGAAGCAGGATGGTTGCCTAGGTACTAATGATTGGAGCAATACTGATGTAAAGTCTGATCGTACTTGTATAAATTATTTACTTGTTCCTTAAATTTCTTTTTGATACATTTTGTTTTTTTTAGTGCTTCTATACATATGTTTTCTTTTCCTTTTCATTGTTTGCATTGCATGGACTCATTTCTAGCCTTTAGGATCCTTCTGTCCCTTTTTGCTCTATGTTTCTTTTTGCCATCTAGAAATCATCCTGTTTTGTTTGATTCTTGTTCTTTCTTGAGGACAAGAAAGGTCTAAGCTTGGGGAGATTTGTCAGGTGCGATTTGTGCACCTTTTTGCACACCTTTTAGTCCCATTTCATGCATCTATTTAGCACAATTGTTCTTCCTTTTTCTTGAATTTCATCATATTCATGTTAGTCTCTAGAACAAACTTATTTGCACACTTTTATGTCCTTTTCAGGTAAACCGGAGCTTGGAGTGCGATTTTGGAGGTACCAGGGGGAATTGGTGAAGATTGCAGGATGATCGGGCGTAAAACGGAAGAATTGAGAAAATCAAGTTTGGGCTCAAAGTCAGAGGACAACATGGGGCATGTTGAGCTTGGCCCAGAAATCCAACACGGGGCGTGCTTGACCATCCCAGTCAGTTTGACCTCACTGAACACGACCCGTGTTCATTTACTCTATACTAACAAGGGGCGTGTTGGTCCAGTTGAACAATTTTTAGCATCATACTTTAGAGTTGGAATCGAAGTTGAAGGGTGTGTTTTCAGGTACATCAGATGATCGCGGGAAGGCAAAGGCGTTATCGTATAGCTCCTCATGTTTATGATTTGTTTCTGGGATACTCTGATATTATACTATTTTGAAAGCAAATTTTGTAATGATTTATGGTTTGAAATGTTTTGAAAAAGTTTAAATTTTGCATGATTTTCATGAGTGTTACAATTGTCATATAACAATAGTTACCACGACATCATAGACCAACCTCCCTTTGATATGATCTATGGGAGTTAGTATAGGACCCCAATCTATTGGGGTGAGGTCGGTTAAAGGGTCATGGGGAGTACTAAGATAGTACTCAAGACCACCGAGCAGATCCAAAAGGTCCAGATCTGGCTCTAGACTGCCCAGAGTCGGTAGAAGACTTACGCTGACAAGCGGCGTTCAGACTTAGAGTTTCAGGTGGGTGAGATGGTCCCCCTGAAGGTGTCACCTTGGAAAGGTGTCATTCAGTTCCGAAAGCGGGGCAAGCTGGGCCCCAGATATATTGACCCTTTCAAAGTCATAGCCCGAGTGGCAAGGTAGCGTATCGATTTGATCTTCCAGCAAAGTTCATCCAGATCCACAATAATTTCCATGATTCCCAACTACAGAAGTGCTTAGTGGATGACTCGGCAGTTGTACCCTTAGAGGATATTTAGGTTGATGACAGCCTAAATTACATTGCGAGACCGATGGTGATTCTGGATCGCCAGATGAAGGAGCTGAGGAACAAGAGGGTTGAGCTAGTAAAGGTGTAGTGGCATCAACGTAAGGGTTTGGAGTGGACTTCGGAGCCCGAGGAAGAAATAAGGGAGCACTACCTGGAGTTGTTTCCAGATGCAACAGACTTCGAGAATAAAGTCTAAGACAAGTGGGGTATAATTGTAACGTCTGGTTCCTAGTATGCATTTAACTCATTTATTAATTTGTTTTAAAAGAGGGAATCAATGAGTTGGTGGCCATAACTCGTCGAGTAGAGAGCAGAGTATGCGTGGGGTTTGAGCTGTCTACTCGACGATTCAAGAGCCCTCAACTTGATGAGTATTTCAGCCAGAGTGAAACCCTAATCTTGGGGTTTTGCACCCTATTTAAACTCCTTGACCCTCACCCCTTGGCCTCATTTCCAACCTCCTTGTCCTAAACCCAAATCCACAAAACCCTAGAGTGTTCTTTGAGAGTGTGAGCCATTTAAGTGATCTTGGTGTGTTTTTGAAGCTTGTAGAAGAAGAAGAATATAGGGCTCAAGACGAGAATAATAGATCCAGGAACTCCAACCTATTTGCTAAACTCTCTGGTAATCAAGCTCTTATCTTGGCTACTAATTCATTAGATCTCTTTATGTCATATTTTTGTGGGGTTTTGGTCAAAAAAATGATGACATTTGCAGAATGATCGACCCAAGAGGCTAATCTTCTAGATCTAAGACCTTCAAGGGATGGAATGGCATAAAGGTGAAAAATTTATGTCATTAGATCCCCTATGCAAGCTGTAAGGACGTCATAATGGCCTTTTGAGCTCAAATGGGTCATGCATGGAAGTAAGCTCGAGACTTTACGTCTTCAACTGGTATCTAGGCCCTAGATCTAGGTTTTCATTATTTGGTTTGGGATATCAAGGATTTTTGGACAAGATCTATGTCCTAAAGGAATTAGGGTTTTAGCTAAACCCTTCAAGAAGGGATATCAATGGGTAAAGTTGGAACCTTTACCCTTAGAAAGATCATTTCCAGTGAACAAGCGAAGTATTGACTTTGGATCTAGAGAATAGGGGCTTAATCTGTTAAGATGGCCAAACAGACAGAGGGACTCATCCAGTCCATAAGGGAACTCGACGAGTTGGGTGGTATTGTCCCATTCCAGTTTAAGGTAGAACTCGACGAGTCTATAGAAGGACTTGACGAGTTGATTCACCAAGTCACGACTATGAGCAGCTTGAAAGGACTCGACGAGTTGGAGGAATGACTCAGCGAGTTGAGTCATGATTCTAGGATTTCTGAGTCAAAGAAGTCGACAAGTTGAAAGTTTGGCTCAGCAAGTTGGTCAACCCAGAACGTTGACTTTGACTAGAGCGTTGACTTTGACCAGGGGTAAAATGGTCATTATACCCTTACAAGGATTTCAGTTTTTGACTAAATGATTTTGAAAATGTGTAGCCAGGGAGTCGTTAGAGCAGCCATCGGAGATTCCTCACTTGAGATATCAGCAACCAGTTTGAGAGGTGAGTTTTCCTTTAGTAGTAACGGGTTGAAGGCACCAATTCTAGCCCGTTTATGTATGTTAACGTATACTGGACTTCAGTCCGATGTCGGGGCTAGCCCGATGTAGAGTATGTGTTCCGGACTTTGGTCTGGTGTCGGGGCAGTCCCGAAAAGTGTTTATGTATGCTTGATGTCTTTGTGATTCATGCATGTTATGTGTTCTGTGTTCCGGGCCTAGGTCCGATGTCAGGGCCAGCCCGATGTAGGTTAGCTTATATGTTATGTGTTTCGGGCTTCGGTCTGATGTCGGGGAAATCCCGATGAACGTTATATGTTTATGTTATATGCTTAGGTTATGTGCTTATGTTATATGATATGATGTATGTATGTCGGGGCATGCCTGATGTTAGGCAAGGCTCGATGCCAGACATGGTCTGATGTCGGGGTAAGCTCGATGTTAGGTTCGTCCCGATGCAGCTGGACGGAGTCCACAAGTTTATGTTATATGTTATGTGTATGGTATGTGATAGTTTAGGGGAGCTCACTAAGCTTCGTGCTTATAGTTTTCAGTTTTGGTTTCAGGTACTTCGGCTAGCAAAGGGAAGAGCTCTGGATGAACGCATGGCACACACCACAGTTTTGTAGACTGGGATATTTCACTCTGATATTGGATATGATATTTTAATACTTTGACAGTTGTTATATTATTTTTCAGATACATGGTTTATGATGTTTATATGATGATGATGATATTTATGGTTTTATTAATGATTTAATAACAAAATATCTGGACCGTATTTTTGGGATGTTACAGTTCCCTTACCACCCGCAGAGTTAACAACAAGTAGCCAAGGCACGCCTAAAGAACTTCTCAAACATCACACTGTAGGACAAGGAAAAAAAGTCATTTCTGAGTGG